TGGTGTGAAAGTGTCAGCCAGATCTGGGGAGACAGATTGGGCAACTGCACACCGACGTTTGGGGCATGTGGCAATGCCTTTGCTGAAGCAGCTGGAGAAGGATGGAGCCGTTAAGGGCTTAAAGCTGAACGGACAACCACCCGATGATAACTGTGAAATTTGCCTCCTTTCAAAGTTCACCCGTTTCCCCTTCCATAGTGTGGCTGGCAGGAGCAAAAAGCCGTTGGAGCTGGTCCACATGAACTTGGTGGGGCCGCTGCCGGTGCAAGGGCACAAGGGGGAGCGGTACTTCTTAACCATAGTGGATGACTGGAGCAGGCTAATGTGGGCGTATCCGCTGAAGCAGAAAGATCACGCCGCCTCCACGATTCGGGACGATTGGCTGCCGTTCGTGGAGAAGCAAGCGGAGTGTGTGGTGAAGCGGATTAGGACAGATCGGGGTGGTGAGTTCCTTGGAGCTGAGATGACGGCCTGGCTCAAGAAGCAGGGCATCCAGAGGGAGCTGACCACGGCTTACACCCCACAGTCCAACGGTGTAGCAGAACGGGCGAACCGGACAATTCTGGAGACAGCTAGGGCGCTGCTCATAGAATCTGGGCTGGGCAACTTGATGTGGCCCCATGCTGTTCGGCACGCTACCGTCGCTAGGAACAGGGTACTCACAAAGGTTGGGGATGACTCGTGGGTGCCGTTGGAGAGTTGGCTTGGGAGGAAGCCGCCGGTGGACATGCTGAGGGTGTTCGGTTGCATGGCAGTCGCCCACGTCCCCAAGACCTACCGCAGTAAGTTGGGGGCGAGTGCAATCTGGTGTGTGCATTTGGGGCTGGCTGCTGAGAGCAAGGGATGGCTGCTGTGGGAACCCTCCAAGGGTGTGTTATTTGACAGCAGGGATGTGAAGTTTGTTGAGGGCATGATGTATGGGAGCTGGGAGAAACAGCCGGAGGCCAGGGTGTCCCAGCAGATGGAGCAGATCACCATGCAGCTGGACCTGACTCCTAGTGTGTGGGAGGAGGGAGAGGAGGCAGCTGCAGAGGGTGGTGATAAAGAGAAGGTGCAGGAGGCACCTGCTGGTGGAGGTGATGGTGTGGAGATTAGCGGTAGCACTAGTGGAGCTGCTGGATCCGAGGGAGGAGAGCAGCAGCAGGGGAAAACTAAGAAGCCGAAGGGTGTTATTATGAAGGGATGGGAGACACCCGTCTCCAGGCCAGGACGTACCCGTATGGCTACTAAAAAGCTGACTGCAGGAGCTGATGTAGCGGAGCAGCAGCTTGGGACCGAGGAGGCATTGCTGATTCTACCGCATGGCTATGACCCGGATGAGGAGGATCAACCTGCGTACTGTTTTCTTGCCCCTGCACCAGAGGAACCAGCTAGCATGGAGGAGGCATTAGCTGGACCAGATAGGGACAAATGGCTAGCTTCCAGGGATGCTGAATACCAGAGCCTGCTGGAGAATGGGACTTGGGAACTAGTGGTGCTGCCTGAGGGAAAGAAAGCGGTACAATGCAAGTGGGTGCTAAGGATCAAGACTGACGACAAGGGGCAGGTCACCATCTACAAGAGTAGGTTGGTGGCTAAGGGGTTTATGCAGAAGGAGAAGCGGGACTTCAATGAGATCTTTGCTCCCACTGCCAAACCCCCTACCCTTCGTGTCTTGTTGGCAGATGCAGCCGTTAGTGGGAAGTTCATTATCCAGATGGACATATCAACGGCATTTCTCAACGGGATTTTAGAGGAGGAGGTGTTCATGACGCAGCCACCTGGGTATGAGGATGGTACGGGCAGGGTGTGCAAGCTGAAAAAGTCCATCTATGGCTTGAAGCAGGCGCCACGCTGCTGGTACCAGAAGTTGGCAGCTGTTTTAGAGGAGATGGGATTCAGGACCAGCAGCTGTGATGAGAGCCTCTTTCTCAAGGGGGAGGGGGAGAAGCTGGTGCTGTTTCTGGTCTATGTGGACGACATTCTTCTCTTTAGCAGCAGCATGAAGGAGATCCAGAAGGTGCAGCAGCAGCTGATGGAGAACTTCAAGTGCAAGAACCTTGGGGAGGTAAAGTACTACCTCGGGATGCACGTGGAGAGGGATCTGGATCACAGGTGGTTGAAGCTGCACCAGGAGAAGTTCATCAAGGAGCTTGGGGAGAAGTACGGAATTGAGAATGAGCGCAAGGTTGCAACTCCCCTGCCAGCAGAATTCAAGCTTGTGAAAGCTGCAGAGGATGAAGGGGTTGAAGCCGAGGAGCAGCAGCAATTTCAGTCCTTGGTGGGCAGCCTCTTGTATGCAGCAGTTCACACGAGACCCGACATCTCTTTCTCGGTTGGGCAGCTGGCTAGGGTAGTGCAGAATCCATCAGAGGAGCAGGTGGATGCAGCTGAGCGTGTGGTGAAGTATCTGAACTCTCACCCAAGCATTGGAGTTCAATACTCCGCATCTGCACAGGTGAAGCAGAAAGGGGTTGAGGTGCTGAAAGAGAAGGGGGAGAGGCTTGGAGAAGGCAAGCTTTTTCTCACTTGCTTTACTGATGCTACGTGGGCCTCTGAGAAGGAGGATTCCTCATCTGTGGGAGGATACATCTGCGTAGTTGGGGGAGGACCGGTTAGTTGGAGGTCAAAGAAGCAGACGGAGACAGCACTCTCTTCCGTGGAATCAGAGTACATGGCGATGTTCCATGGGGTGAAGGAGGTGATTTGGCTGAGGAGGCTGTTTGAGGAGATTGGCCAGGAGCAAAAGGTTGCTACGCCGCTGTTTTGTGATAGCAAGGGAGCTCTTGGGATGGCCAGGAACGCTGTGCTTCATGGGCTGAACAAGCACATGCGTATCAAGTGGCACTGGCTGCGTAAGGAGGTGAAGAGGGGGACGGTGAATCCGATCTACATCAAGACTCACCAGCAGCCAGCAGACTTCCTCACCAAGAGGCTTGCGGATGAGTCTCATTGGCGTTGTGTGCGCATGAGTGGAATGAGCATGAACTAGTATGGAATGATGGGGATGCAGCCGGCAGGCTGAGGGGGAGTGTGTTGGGTGCAAATTCACATTGCACGACATCCTGCCGTCTGTTTGTACGAGTATGCGTGTGCGAATGCATTTGCGTGTGAATGGTATGTTTGTGTGTTTGTTTGCTTTCGCAATTTTCGCTTGAAGCATTTGCAGGTACTCGCACAATGTGCGCTTCGGCATAACATTGTACGCGCTATGAACAGTACAAGCAGAAAGGACGAGCTCGCAAAGGAACCCAAGATGGAAGCTTTGCGGTTCAACTTACTTGATTGCGCAGATTCAGTTCTATCCAACTCGAAATTGTACTGTTTTGTTTGGTTGACTATAGTGTAGCAGGGCAGGCACTATAGGGGTACAATTTAGGTGAAGGTTGGATGTTGTTTGTCTGTATCTGCATGCTACAGGGCCAGGGGAAACCAGCGGAACCAGCATTTGGCTGGTTGGGCAAAGACAAAACAGGTTCTGTTTTTAGGACCTGAACCTGGTTGTTGTTTTCCCAGGTTGGAAAAACAGAACCAGAGGTTGTTCACCAACCTATCACCTGCTATTTTGTCCAGCCAGGTTGGTTCTGTTGCTTGGAATTATTTGGGATCATCCCTGGTTGTTCCCAGGTTGATTCCCAAGGTCCTTGCTAGCTAGAGCTATTTATTCCTTCTCTGTTTGTACCTGAATATAGTGAAATTGATTCAAGCGAATTCCTTCCTTGCTGGAATTTCTTGTCTACGCGGTGCGACGGCGGAATGCTACCCGAGTCAACGCTAGTACGCTAGCACTCCAACGCTAGGCTAACGCTGTCCGAGCCATAACTTCGTAATGGCAGAACTTTTCGCGAGGCAACTTGGCTTATTTTAAAGCTCTTAGAGTGAGCTTCGATATAGGAAATTCTCAGCTTAATCCGATCGACGGTCTGCACGATACGCTGCGCGACGTTCAAGGTACTCTTGCTGTTTTGACTAAGTCCCTCTTGATCCCTCTCTCTACAAACTCGGACCCGAGGATAGGGGCTGGTCTTGTACCAGGCACCCAAGGACCCTTGGAGGTGACCCCGAGGAGAGGTTTTAAGTGTGATAAAGTCTTAATAGCTTGAGTTTATTAGGCCCTTACACCAACAAAATCGCTTCTATCGTGTCGAAACACCAAGGCACAAGCAAAGCAGATCATATCGAGGCACCAGCGAGTCAACCCTCGGAGGTTGAAGTAACCGCTGGAGGTTACGTGAAAAGTCAAAGGTCAGCGACCTAAGGCAGCGCGACAGCAAGGATACACAACTGACTCGATATTGAGCAGTTGCCCGAGTCGCACTGTATCGAACCGCAAAAGCCAACAGTAAGACAGTTATCATTCATATCCCTTCGTATTCCTTGTACTCTTATATAAGCCTTTGTACTTGTTTGCTTTAATTAACTTACTTTGCCCTCACATACCAGCGCAAGGTGGTTCAGAATCTTCTCCTTAAACGCTTCCGCTATTACATCACTTTACTTAGAGTTTCATCCTACCAAAGATCCTAAGGGGCACTCAGCCCAACAACATGTACGTGACGAGAGTGGAAGTTTGTGAACGTGATGAGGGCTAGTAGATCTCTGAGCAATGTGCTGCCTTGGACTTGGGTCCTGGGAGAGGTGCGATAACGGGGAGTAGTGGAGAAAAAAGCACGAGGTGATGCGAATGAATAGAAATAAGGGAGATTGCAAGGGCGACGGGATGGGAAGGGAGATTGCAAGGGCGACGGGATGGGAAGGGGGATCGCAAGGGCGACGGGACGGGAAGGGAGATTGCAAGGGCGACGGGACAGGAAGGGATATTGCAAGGGCGACGGGATGGGAAGGGATATTGCAAGGGCGACGGGATGGGAATTGAGATTGCAAGGGCGACGGGATGGGAAGGGAGATTGCAAGGGCGACGGGATGGGAAGGGAGATTGCAAGGGCGACGGGATGGGAAGGGAGATTGCAAGGGCGACGGGAGGGAGAGCGCAGAGGCAAAGGGAAAGCGATCACGAATACTTAGACGACGTGCATGGAGGGGCGACGGGAAGGAAGGGGGGGCATCGAAGGCAAGGGGAGAGAGGGGAGATCGTGAGGCGACGGGAAGGAACGGGGACATCGAAGGCGAGGGGAGAGAGGGGAGATCGTGAGGCGACGGGAAGGAACGGGGACATCGAAGGCGAGGGGAGAGAGGGGAGATCGTGAGGCGACCGGAAGGAATGGGGATATCGAAGGCGAGGGGAGAGAGGGGAGATCGTGAGGCGACGGGAAGGAACGGGGACATCGAAGGCGAGGGGAGAGAGGGGAGATCGTGAGGCGACAAGAAGGAACGGGGACATCGAAGGCGAGGGGAGAGAGGGGAGATCGTGAGGCGACGGGAAGGAACGGGGACATCGAAGGCGAGGGGAGAGAGGGGAGATCGTGAGGCGACGGGAGGAACGGGGACATCGAAGGCGAGGGGAGAGAGGGGAGATCGTGAGGCGACGGGAAGGAACGGGGACATCGAAGGCGAGGGGAGAGAGGGGAGATCGTGAGGCGACGGGAGGAACGGGGGCATCGAAGGCGAGGGGAGAGAGGGGAGATCGTGAGGCGACGGGAAGGAACGGGGACATCGAAGGCGAGGGAACGGCGCCACGATAAACGAGGCAGCGGGCAGCGAGAGGAGATAACCGAGGCGATGGGTAGCGAGGGGAGATAAACGGGAGGGCTACGGAATGGACGACATGATCGCGATGCGACGGGACGGACGTCGCGACTGATATTCACAACGGGAGGATGAGCGAGATGGGATGGGAAGGGGGGGAGAGGACGATCGAAACGACAGAAGTAGTACGCAACCATGCCCTCTAGTTACTACGCGTCTAAATTGCGGTAACAACGACCTAGTTGCAGAGTTATATGGCTACAGAAGATACGCATAACTAAGGAGCAGGTGCAAATGAGCAGAAGAAGTAGTAGTTCACCCAGTCCCAAGTTGAAAGGAAAGCTGGCCCCAGATCGCTTGGACGTGACAATACGATCGCAGTGCTATGGTTGCGCGGCTTCAAAAAATGAGATGCGACACCTGACGTGCTGGGCTGGTTATTTTTTTGGTTGGCGGGAACCAATCAGATGTGTTCGATTTGTATAACCGCTCTCTTTGAAACAGTGCATACTTGTCAGTTTGCCCCCAAAATTTTAGCACTCTTTCAAGCTGGTCCTCGGGTCACTATTTTAGCTGCAGGCTTTAGCCAGGAGGCTCCAGAAGAAGAGGAGGAAGAATCGTTGACAGAATACGACCTCACCTCATCCCCATCACAAGAGACGGAAGGGACCACCTTTGCGTCGAGACAAGGGGAGCAGCGATTGGCGACACCGACCTCGAAGAACGAGAAATCACACAACCAGAAGATCGCTGCTCAAGAGCTACACCGGCACCTCCAGAAGGACCTTCGAAGCTACCCACGACGATTGACACCACCACCATCGGCGACACCTGTACTGGCAGCCCGGGCAGCCCTGCAAACCAGTGGTGGACGTCGAAAAAAATCGGGCAAGAGAATCTGTGCGTTCGATGTGTTAGTGATGGTGTGTTGGTGATGTGTGATTTTCCAGCTGGCAAGAAGAGGGGCATGAAAAACCCGGATTTGTTTTTTCAGGGCAATGCGTGACTGCCCCGAATCACTAATACCCCGTGTGGTGCAGGCTCTCGAGGCCGCATGGTGCGGCGTATCAGAAAATGGACCATTTGCCTGAGAAATAGGTTTCGAGGAAGATTCCGCTGGTGGAAAATGCCAGCGTCAAAAGGGGTGTTCGGCTGGCATTCCATTATTGTCTGGTTCGGCGATGATCCGCTTATATCGAGCCTAGATAACCTTTCACGCGCTTATCAAAGAAGGTTCTAGGGTGGTCGGTTTACTGTAGCCCATACGGGGAAACCGTTTTTTTAATGCCTGCCGAACTGGGCCCAGTGGGACGTATTGTTGAAATCAATGAACAGGAATGAATGAACTAACAGTGAAAAATAAGTACAAGTACCAAACCCTAGAAATTTGTACCCCCTATAGGCTAACCCACTGTAGCCTAAACAACCACAATATATATAATGTTTGACACACCCCCATAGGCGAAGTGGGGGAGAACTAGGGGTCACAAGACCAGTCAAGTAAAGCAAAGCAAAGCCAAGTCAGGGTGGATCACAAAGTCACCACACATTCCGAGCACAAGTTCAAGGCCACAAGGCCAGTTCACATGCAAGAGCATATATATATATAAGGCTAGACAAGCAAGAGTAGGTATATATATATATGTAACAGTACAAGCAAGGTTAAGAGGTGAGCAAGTGAGGCAAGACAGGTACAAGGCCCACCTGGGTACAGAAGCGCTGTAATCACAAGGCGCAAGTGCCTTGGTGAAGACATCAGCACTGTTGGCCTCAGAGGCCACGTACGCAAGCCGCAACTGACCACGCTGCTGTAGCTCACGAGCAAGGAAGTAGCGGAGAGCAATGTGCTTTGTTCTGTGCTCTAGTCTCTGCTCTCGACACAAGGCCAGCATGGCCTTGTTGTCTACATACAAGACTGGAGGAGAACGAGGCGTCTCTCCAAGGTCGGTCAGCAACTAGGTGAGCCAGCGAAGCTCCTGTGCAGCCATGCCTCCTGCGTAGATCTCAGCCTCACAACTGGAGCCGAGAACAGAAGACGAGCGAGTAGCCCGCCACGAAACAGAGCCGGAACCAAGGCTGAAGGTGTAACCCTGTGACGGCCGCTGAGTAGCCTGGTTGTCAGCCCAAGAAGCGTCTGCGTGACCAGTAAGGACCACTGGACTCTGCCCTCCAAGCACTAGCCCCATGCCCGACGTACTGCACAGGTAGCGTAACACCCTCTTCGCTTCAGCCATGTGCTCTGGTCGGTGTCTCCTAGGAGCAACATAGCGTGTGAGAATGCTAAGAGGGTATGCAAGGTCAGGTCGTGTGCAGGTCATCAGGTACATGAGGCAGCCAACAAGCTCTGGGTATGGGCCACTCGACTCTACGGACTCATCTGAAGGCAGAGCTGAGAGCGAGTGGCGAGTAGGCAGAGGAGTGGCCTGAGGCGAGGAGTACGTGAAGCCGAAGCGCTGAAGGACCTGCTGCACCATGTGTGACTGAGTCAGGGTGATGGTGCGGCGTGCTCTGTCCCGGGTGATCTACAAGCCAAGGTAGCTGCGCAGTTCACCCAGGTCTGTGCACGTGTGTCTCTTCTGCAGCTCGGAATTCACGTAGGCGAGTCCAGCAGTGTCATCTGTGGCAAAGACCAAGTCGTCGATGTACACGAGGATGTAGAACGGCGGCAGAGAGGTGTCGGCTCGTAGAAACAGCGACGGGTCAGCAGTAGAGGGAGCAAACCCAAGAGCCGCAAGCGTAGTCCTCAGTGTGTCGTGCCACTCACGCGGTGCCTGGCGGAGACCGTAGACTGGCCGCCGGAGGCTCCAGTGGGTGCCAGGAGGAAAAGTACCAGTGAAGCCAAGTGGGCGGCGCAGCCAGATCTCCTCGTGGAGGCTGCCCTGCAGGAAAGCAGTGCTGAAGTCAAGAGAGTGTGGCTCGTAGTCACCGTGAGCAGCTACGTGCAGCAGTACCCGAAGAGTGGTCATCTTCGGGGTGGGAGAGAAGGTCTGAAAGTAGTCAACTCCCTGCCGCTGACTGAAGCCACGAGCCACGTAATGCGCCTTGAAGACAGGCGGAGAACCCGGCGGCCGCTTCACCCTGAAAATCCACATGCCACTGACGATGTTTGCCCCAGGAGGGGGGACAGCGTCAACGTAGGTGCCTGTGGACTTCCAGGAAGCCATCTCTGCATCCATAGCTGCCTGCCACTGAGAAGAGTAGGGACCCTCTATCGCCTCCGCGTAAGAGCGCGGAGTCGGGATGTCAAGTGCATCCGGGTCTCCCTCTGGGGTAAGCAGTACGGACACGAGATGAGGTGAAGCAGCGGCCAAGCACTGGAACTCCTCCTGCCTGTCATCAAGGACGTCCGTGCCAAGGGCACACTCACCCTCGACGGACGGAGGACAGACAGACTCAAACTCAGCGATAAGACTAGCAGCGTAGTCTAGGCAACAGCGAGCAGCAAAGTCGACGAGCTCAGCAACTAGGGCAAACACAGCTGTGGACTCGAAAGAAGGGTCAGTGACGACAGTAGCAAGGAGACGCGTGACAGTAGGACTGGCAGCACGAAGAGAGTCCAACTCCGGGTCGGCAAGAGCAGGAAGAGAGGACTCAGGGGGAAAAGGCAAAGGGGCACGTAGAGGAGCAGTGGACGGACGCAGAGGCATCCGGTGCGTGCCAGGGATAGGAGGAGGACGCTGACGCGAACCACGACCACTAGCGCGAGGAGGACGGACAGGCGACGCGGGGCGAGACGCAGGCTCATGACGCTCAGCAAGACCTCCAGTAGGACCAGTGTAGGGAGAAGGAGCAGGTAGTGGGGAGGCTGGCCGTAGCTCTAACTGTGACTGGACAGGCTGTGGACACTCTAAGGAAGGAGGAGGGCCGGGAGAAGGCGGAAGACCAAGAACCTGCTGAAGGAGCGGAACGAAGTACGGTCGCCGCCATGCAGCGACCCCAGAATCAGCAGAGACACTAGGGCCAGGGTCCTCATCACCAGCAGCAGCTCCAACTCCCGGTTCGTCAGCACCAGCAGCAGCTCTAACGCCCGACTCCACAGCACCAGCAGCAGCACCAGCTCCAGAGTCCTCAGCACAGGTAGCAGCGCCAACGCCCGACTCCATAGCACCAGCAGCAGCACCAGCTCCAGAGTCCTCAGCACCAGTAGTAGCGCCAACGCCTGGGTCCGCAGCACCAGCAGCAACACCAGCTCCAGAGTCCTCAGAACCAGTAGTAGCACCAACGCCCGACTCCACAGCACCAGCACCAGCTCCAGAGTCCTCAGCACCAGTAGTAGCGCCAACGCCCGACTCCACAGCACCAGCAGCAGCACCAGCTCCAGAGTCCTCACCACCAGTAGTAGCGCCAACACCAGGGTCCGCAGTACCAGCAGTAGCACCAGCACCACCACCAGCAGCAACGGGGTCCGCGACACCAGGCGCGCCACTCCAAAGAGTGCAGCATTGCTCGTACCACTCACGGATCCGCTCACGGGAGGGGAGCTCCTGGCTAGGAGGAAAAGCACTAGCCCCAGTAGTATGCCTGGCTCTAGAGGTACCTCTCCTGAGGCTGCAGTACTGTAAGTACCACTCACGCAGCTGCTCCGAGGAGAGGGCTCCTCCAGGCGTAGGACTCTCAGGCTCAGGGCCTCCAGACTCCGGACTCCGCGGCTCAGCACCCCCAGGCTCAGCACTCCCAGGCTCAGCACCCCCAGGCTCAGCACCCCCAGGCTCAGCACCCACAGGCTCTGCACCCCTAGGCTCAGCACCCCCAGGCTCCGAACCCCTAGGCTCCGCACCCCCAGGCTCAGCACCCCCAGGCTCCGCACCCCTAGGCTCCGCACCCCCAGGCTCAGCACCCCCAGACTCCGCACCCGCAGCAGGACGAGAGTCGACAGCCACCTCAACAGGCTCAACCGGGTCTACCTGAGACACACCAGAGGGAGCGGCACCCTGAGGGGGGAGGGGGTCTACGACAGCAGCACCTGGCGCGAGGAAGAGTGGCGGGGGGGGGGAGCGGGGCAGTGCGGTAGGGGAAGAGGCAGTAGTAGGGGACGGACTCGTCAAAAGTGACGTCCTGAGAGGGCAAGACTCGGCGCGAGGTGGCGTGGTAGAACTGCCAACCAGGCGCGTCCGGGACAAAGCCGAGGAAGATGCAGGGAACAGCACGGGAGGAGAGCTTGTCCGCAGACGTATCGCGAACAAAAGCTCGAGATCCTCAGACCCGGAAACGCGACGCATCGCCAACCTCCCCCGTCCACAGCAGTGTGGGCGAGGTCTCTGGCAAGGAGACACGGGGCCGGAGGTTGAGCTGATGCGCAGCATACCGGACCGCAAACGGCCACAGAAATTGGGGGCCAGCCGCATGGATCAAGGAGGTACGGGCGACCTCCATGACCAGGCCAATGTGGCGCTCCTCAATCCCATTCTGCTGTGGAGAGGCCGGAAGCGTGAACGACAGCTCAATGCCGTGTTCAGCACAGTAGGCTGCCAAGAGGTCGGAGGAGAACTCACCACCTCTGTCAGAGTGCAAGCGCAGGACAGGAAAGTCCGAGTGGAAACGCTCGCTGAGCTGGAGACGGGCTCTGCGGATCCAAGGGATCAAGGCATCAGGGACCTCACCCTTGGTGCGCAAGGGGAAGACCGTGGTGTAGCGCGAGTACTCGT